CCTCCCGGAACGTGATGTCACCCGGCGCTCGCGACCGTGGTCTGGATTTCGGCCACGCGGTTCGCCACGAAAGTGTGCCATCGCGACGGATGGGCCTGGATCCAGCCTAGAGCCACGGTCGAGTCCGACCAGAGATGAACGGGGGCCCCGCCCAGATCCAGCGTAGAACGGACATGAGCCACGAGCCGGGCCAAGAGCGTGGCTGCGCAGAGTTCCAAGCGTGGCAGACTTATCTGCTTGATTGGCGCGACCTTCGTTTTAGCCGCGATCAAGCGGGCACGCCAAGACCCAGAATGCTCCGTCCTCAGGTAAGCAACGGCAGCGTAGGCCAACTCCGAGGCGTCGCAGAATCCGTGGATCTCGACGCGCCCAGTAGAGACCGGACCAATCCAGCGAGGGATCTGGATCTCCTCGAGCAGGGGAAGCGCAGCCTGATATTTGAGCCAACTCCGGGTGGAGGCCTCCTCCAACGGCTCGTCCCAGCCCAATCCTCGACGCCACGTAGCCTGGAATGCAATCTTAGCGCTCACCACCACGGGCGCCAGCCAACCGAGGGGATCGAACAGCCGTGCCGTGAGAGATAGCACGGACCGCTTGGTCACAACTGCAATAGAAATACCCTTGGTCGAAAAGGAGAAGTGATCTTGGCTAGGATGCCACCGCAAGCCAAGCGTAGAGTGCGCTTCGTGAGGTCGCCAGTCTCGGAGCTCGCCATTCATCCGATGCTCCGCAGGAACGTCGTCCATCAACCTCATATCGTTGGCTGACCACTTACGCAATGGAAAGCCGCCCGCCAAGCAGAGATTGACTAGTTGATGAAGGAGCTCGCGGGCGTCCGTGAGCGAGTCGGCTCCCGTAAGGACGTCGTCCATGTAGACGTCCCTCCGAATCACGGCGGCACCGAGGGGGTAGCGCGTTTCCTCATCGTCGGCGAGCTGCCGCAAGACGCGCATAGCCAAGAACGGCGCACACGCAAGGCCGTATGTAACCGTGTTCAGACGGTACTCACGGAACTCCTCTTGCGGATTGTACCGCCAGACGATGCGCTGCAGATCCCGATCGTCAGGATGTACCATGATCTGCCGGTACATCTTCTCGATGTCCGTGGCGAGTACGAAGCGATGCACTCGCCAACGGAGAAGTACATCGGCTAGAGGAGGAAGCAGGTTCGGACCCACCAGGAGGTGACGATTCAGCGAGTCGCCCGAAGAAGTCGCGGTCGAGCCGTTAAACACGACGCGCAGCTTGGTCGTCGTGCTGGACTCCCGCAACACGCCGTGGTGCGGGAGGTAGCTCACAGGTCCCCCGGCACCCTTCGAGCCATTCAACGGAGTCATATGGCCCATGTCCTCGTACTGGCGGAGGAAGTCGACGTACAGTTGCCGCAGCCGCGCGTCCTGAGAGAACCGCCGCTCCATGTTTGTAAGCACGCGCCGGGCCGTGTGTCGCGTACGCGAGAGATCCGGTAACGGTGGTTTGACGGGAAGACGTACGACATAACGCCCGTCAGCAGCGCGACGATGAGTCTGGCGGAACTGATCCTCGCACTCCTGGTCAGCAGGGGTAAGAGGTGACGAACGGTCGGCAAGCTCATCCTGCTGCCAGAATTTTTCGACCAGCGTAGCCAAGTCCTCCTCGACTCGGCAGTGGAGAGTTAGCGCGCGGCGAGAGGAATTAGCGGAGCTAACGGCTCCCGAAAGGATCCAGCCGAGCGACGTCTGCTGGGCGACCGGCTCGTTGGGTCCGCCCTTTTGTAGGCCCGGCTGGAGGATATACGCGTAGACATCTGCGCCGAGCAGGATGTCAATCGGATCCGCGGCCAGATAATCAGGGTCCGCCAACTCCAGGGCCGCCAGATGCGTCCAAGATTTAGGATCCGCTTTGATCCCACTGTCGTAGAGCGTGAGCTGGGGAAACACTAAGGCCGGCACGGTCATTGGAGCCCCTCCCGTCAGCGGAGAGATCTGCATGGAGATGAGGCCGCGCGCGGTGCCTGTCTGTTTCCCCCCGACACCGAATATCGCGATCGACGTAGAGGACCGCGGTAATCGAAGGCGTTGAGCCAGAGACTCGGAAACCAAAGATGACTCCGAACCCTGGTCCACGAGCGCACGCGCCGTATGAATGGCCCCGCACCGATCGAGAACACGAACGCGGGCGGTAGCAAGGAGGACAGCAACCGGAAGAGCCGGTGGATGCTGCGCCAAATGTGACGTTGTTGAGGCGACACTTGTCTGGAAAGCCTCGTGGAGGCTCGTGTGGTGCTGCGCACTACACGTCGAGCAAGTCCCTTTGGAGTGGCAATCGCTCAATTTATGTCTTCCAAGACAGTTGAGGCACAAGTGGTTGGCCTCCACGTGACGCTTTCTCTCGTCGGCAGTCTTTTTTTGGTAAACGTCGCACCAGAGAATATAATGCTCCTTACCGCACAAGGAGCAACGTCCGCCCTTATTGTCCTGTTTACGCGCGTGAAGGGCTCGCGTTGTTTTAGACGCCGTCACCTCGGCTTTCGCGGGCTCGGGCCTGACCGGTTGAAGCGACTCTAAAGTATGCAACCGTCTCTCCAAAAAGATCTGTAGATCATCGTACGACGGAGGTTCCGTTGTATCGCTCATAGAAGCCTCCCATTCGCGGCGCGATCGGGCGTCAAGAAGCTCGACGACGAGATGCACGAAAAGATCCTCCCCGCGAGTAATCGGTCTCTCGATGCCTTCGAGCGAGCTGACGGTATTCAAAACGCAGTGGTACAACTTACGTAGTTCCGAAGCAGACTCACTCTTCAACTTAGTCAGGGCCATGAACTGGTGAAGGTAGGAACGCACCAAGAGTCTCTTGTTCTCGTAGAAGTCCGTCAGCGCCTGCCAAGCCCGGCCATAATTCTCAGACGTCGTCGGTAGATTCCGTATCAGCAGGTCCGCATCCCCCTTTACACTGGCCTTGAGATAATGCAGCTTCTCAACGGGACTAGTGGCCGCATCCTTCCCAATGAGGGAGTTGAAAAGGTCGCGAAAGGGCGGCCAGTCCTCGTAGCGTCCTGAGAATTGAGGCAGCTGGATCCTCGGCAGCGTCGTTCGCGGCGAACGCGACGGAGTCGCAGTCGGTACCGCTGCTAACGGAGGTTCTTGGAGCTCGTATAAGGCGTCGATGAACATACCCTTTTGAGTGAGGAATGCTTCCTCAGCTACGTCACGCAAGCACCCCTTTTGGTATGCGTGCGTAGCGAGTTCCCTTTTGAAGTCTGATGTCAGCGTGGCATGCTGGGCTTCGAATTTTTGCCAGTTGGTCTCGAGACTCTGCAGACGGGCCTCCACCAGCCCTCGAGTAGTGCGGGCCGCGCCCGTTTTCTTCAAATTCTCGAAGGAGCGGGCGATGCGCCCATGCAACTCGTTCTGCGAGTCAATTAACGCTTCCATAGCGTTGCACCGTCGCGTAAAGGGAGCTAGCACAACTCACTCCCGTCACTGGCTCAGGAGGAAGGCAATCCGGCTCGAAGGACCAAACTTATGTGTGGGATTGCAAGGGATGGAAGGAGCGAGCAATAGTTGACTCTCAGATTCAATGGCTTGTCGAGCTTTTAATTGTGTTTGCCCTTTACAAGACGAGGATACAGGCGACGATTTAAATTGAGCGATGCCGTTTACGCCCAGTTCGGCGGATCGCGTAGGAAATACGCGGAAGTACCGCGCGCGCGGTTCGCGGGAGAAGTCCCAAAAAAAACGAGACCTCGAAGCGAGCGACAGGCGAAGAGCGCGTAGGCCGCGACGAATGACGCTATCCCGCGCGACGCGACAGACACCGTTCGACAATTTTCTTTGGCAATCGTCACTCGATACCCGAAAGCGCTTATCACCCGGAGTAAGAATTCGAATCGCGACTCACAAGAACGAGAGAGCGGCGGGCTCGCCGGGCCGGGGTTTTATACCGTCCCTCTCCCTCCGGATCTCTCGAGCTTGAGAGTCGACAAAATAAAGCCGTACGAACAGTTTCAAATGAAAACCGATCGTCCGGACACCTCGAGAGACAAACAGTCGGCGGTCGCACAGCGTTAGCGGGCAATCAGCTGTTTTCGCCGAAACTGACTCGCTATTCCTCGAATGCTTCTGTCTCGCTTAGGTAGACGACAGCAAGAGAGAAGCGAAGCGAATATTTGCCTAAGACGCTCTCAAGGTGTACGGACAATCGAGCCGTCAGCCGATCGGGCAAACATCGCGATTCTCGTTTGCTCGGCGACGGTGTATAATATTTGTATAATGCCTAAGAATTTAGTTCGAGGCGATCTCGAACAGACTGCATGTACTTGTTATTGGCTCGAGCGTACCTGTTCGAGCACTGGCTCAAACCACCGCGTATACCGCGTTCCACAAACATGACCATGTCGATGTCTGTGAGCAGCTCGAAATTTACGCGCGTGTGTTTCAGCATGGCGTCCCACGTGAAACCAGGCAAAGTATAATAATACACGGGATCTAATCCATAACTGTTGATGCTACTATCGCGAAAATTTTCAAAAATGTCGGCCAATAACAAGACATCTATCTTCTTATATAAATCGCTGTAGTCGCCTAAGATTTGGATGAAGAACCGCTGCCAGACATTCTCGGCGCGCACGTAATCGCTCTCGGATACGGTGACTCCGGTCAAAGAACTGAAAAATGACTCGCGCGGAGGTAGATGCGGGTCCTGCAACTTGTCCACGCAATCCACATATTCATAGTGAAATATACCTTTTCGTGTCAATAGATCGAAATCGTCGCTGGATAATGTCGAAAATTCAGATCGTACAATTTTTAATTTGTCTCTATGGAGAAACGATGCCAATCTATCGAGGCTGGTACTCAGAAATTTGTATGAGTCAATAAATCGCAGCTTTATGCAATTTTGCCGCTTTGAGTTTTCTGTGGTACTTTTTACATTTTTTGTAAAGGAAATGTATGTCTTCTTCGTTATCGGTAATACATCAACTGTGCCCTCGAACGCGGTAGCGATTTCTTTAATTATGAAATGTGCGTCATAGCCGGATAAATTATGAAAAACGATTGGAATGAAATACGCATCTTTGTAATTTAAGTTACAATTTGAATGTGCGGGGCCTCTATATTGTCCGGTTAGATGGCAATGGTCGCGCATGTGGTCCGAGTGTCGTCTGGCGCGAACGGTTTCTCGCATATGTGACAGTGCGTGGTGCTATTAAATTTCTCATACTGTTCTTTCGAAAGTGTTTGCATGGGAACATTACTCGACAGAATATTCTTTACACGATATGCTAATTCTTCTAGTTGGTCAGCGAACCATGCGATGCATTCCTTGTCACGACGAAACTGATAAGTTGATAGCGAGTCGTCATATGAGCAGTGCAGGTAATAAGCGATGCTAAATACTTCATGGTGCTGATATGTCTTCGGATCCGTATCCATCTTTTTCAGGATACACTCCAAGTCGGCATAGACGACAAACGGCACACGTTCCTTCCTACTGTGATTGTTAAAACTGAGCCACTTGTCCTCCTCGCTGGGTAATATGATCGCGCAGTCATTTATCTGTTGACAGTCCACGCTGTGGGCTTGCAACTTGACGTTGGAGCTAAAGTAGTGCGAACATCTGGAAAGACAAAAATTTTTTAATATATATTTTTTCAAATAAAATAAGTTTCACAAATCTTGTTGATACTCACCGATCGCAAATGTATTTCTTCTCCTTGTGTTTACTGAGCTGAGAACTGACGAGGCGGGATAAATTCTTTATCCAGACGGAGTGACCCACTTCAGCATCCCCCTGATCTTGCAGGTATAATAGGTTCACGGGCTTCTGAAGGAGAACCTCCTTCTCATCAGCGACTCGTAGCGGTACGATTGCGCATTCACAATTGTTCTTTTCATCGATGCTGTATACATTGATGGAAATACTGTTCAATTGATCAAACTTTTTAATACCACTTAATGTCATTGGCATTGGAATGTCTCGCAGGTTTAACACATCACTGTAATGCGGATACGACGACTCGCGCTCCGCGTGTCTTTCAGTTGGATAGAGAGCAGCGACCACTGACTACGCGAAACATGCATTGTCCATGGATTGTACGTTGATCACTGCTTTTTTTCGTTTCACCACTTTTGGCATGTCTATATGGCATCCCGCGCGCATAGGATTGCATTTGTTCACGTTAATAGTCAAGTTGAGTATACGTGACAGCGCCCACCCGCTATCACGCTCCTGAAACTCTTCAAGTTCAGCTAGAGTCGGACCGATTAAGCGCGACTCGTACCACTGTTGTAGGTCCGTTATAATAAACAGTTCATAGTTTTTTGTATTTATGCTTTTATTTGCACGTTTATCACCCGCCACAAACTCTCCGTTGAACACAGTATTCACCTTTACACAATTATAGCGCTCGATAGTGTCTCGCACATGCTCGATCACGATATCGCGAACGTCATCGAGAAATTTGCACGGTTCAATGTACTCCGCGTTAATCACCGCACCGGTAAGCATGCGGTTTTCGAACGCGGTGTCGATCTTGTACCACGACAGTTGTGCTCTCGAAGAAGTTCCAACACCACCACCCCCGAAATGTACGAATCGTCTTTCAACTCGGCACTTGACACTCTCGAGTCGCGCGATTCGAGCCACCAGCGATTGTCTGCTACCAATGGATATCCTTGGACGCTTGACACGGCTGTGTTCCTCTAGCTCTGCGATACACTCGTGGCATTGTTGCAGCCACCCATGGTGGAAAAAGAAAGGTGAGTTAAGTCAGGTGACCAATTTTCGTTCGCTTTGCGCAACTCACCAAATCAGCCATCTTGTTTTACAAACACATACTTGAACTTGGTCATGTATACCATGGTATACATGGTGTCATATATTATATAATAATACATGACTGTAATCTGAGAATTGTCAAGATCTAAAAAGATATATTTATTCATTCAGATAGTTTATCCGGTGACTTTTTCAACAGTAATTTAATTTTTAATTTGTTATTTTGATAGTTATTTGATAGTATTCTGCAATACAGAATACTAAACGAATATTAATGTGAAGAGGTTAGGAAACTTATCATAATAAAATATTTTCCAGATTTATTTTCCACAATAGTCCATAATAGTCAATTATGGTATACTGCGCTATTAAAGGATGTAAAAATGACTCGAAAAAAACGAAAAATTCTAGGTGTGGAAAAATAAGTTATTTTCGTTTTCCAAAAAATGAACTCTGGAAAGAATGGGTGAAATTCTGTGAGAATCCAAAAATAAATCTACAACCTGGTGAGTGAAAATACTCGATAAAATCAGAACTTAATCGTCTGTTTATTATAATTATCATAATTATCATTTTAAAAAATGTTTCATTCCGCAGCGAGAGTATGTTCAGTTCATTTTCCGGAAGATGCGTACCGAGAAAAGTCATGGGTGCAACAGCAGTATTCTGAGCTAATGAGATGTGAGCCGCATTTGAAAGAAAATTGCGCCAAATAAAACAGCGGATATTTATACAAACTAGTTGCTTTAGCATTAGTTTTTGATTAAAAAATGTTATATTTCTTAAAAAATCAAACTAAAGATTTTATTAGAAAAAATAATCGAGTTCATAATAAAACACCGATGAAAAGAATAGCAACTGTTTAGAAATTTAGAAACTCTGTATCTGTTCAGGCGAATTAAGGCGTGTGTGTTACGGAACTGAACAACGTCGACTCCGCAGTATCGAAATTAACAGCTACGCCGGATACGCGGAGGCGCTAGCGGAGCAGGAGGAGAGGGGAGGGGGGCGTGCGCTTTTCGCCGGCTCCCGCCATCTTCTCCCTTTCGAGACAGTGACCGTTTCTAAAGGCCACCCTGTGCCATTACTACCGTTCGCTTCCCCGCGAACGCCCGAGGGCAGCTTCCAAGTCTTCTTACGGAGGACATACGGGGTAAAACCCATTTGCCATTGCCACGGTCGCTTCCCAGCGAACGGTTGAGGGCAGCTACTACGGGGAGAGGTTCGTAAGAACATCTCATGCAGAAGGGGGCGGCTTCCTCCGCCATTGACAGCGCCCTAGCGGCAATATTAGTTTTGAGTGCCATCGTCTCTTGATCGAACGAGGAGACGCCGAAGGGCTAATCCTCTCGATATACTCGGGCCGGGAGGACACGCCCGTGGGCTCATCCTCTCGGCATTCTCCAGGTGCAGAGCTCGCTGGTCCGGCGCTCCGTGATCCGCGCGCAGGCGCGCGAGCGCCGGCCGCTGCGTAGTTCGCCGGCCGCCGCTAGGCGCCACATGGCGGCGGCCGGCAACTCGGAATCAAAATCCGGTCTCGGTGGTTATATAAGGAGGCCGCGAGGAGCTCAAAATCAAGAATCCAGTGGGGTAACCTATCGGGACGATTCCCTGGCTGGAAGAGTCCTTGATACAGTACGCTGTCGTTCTTAAC